AGTTAGAATTACCTTAGCTGTTCCCCTGTTTATATATTCACAGGAATTAACGGCCTTCTATGCAGTTAATGTAGAAATGACCCATTAAAGCCATTCACATCTGTTGCCAGGTCACACTCAAGGCTCCAATTATGACTGCTGCATTAACCTTCATGCAAACTGTGTTTTTCATTTGTAAATGAGAGATTTATGGGAGTCAAATGAATAATGTTGAAGAGTAAGCACTGAGGGGACTGATAAGTATTTCTTCTGAAGGCTAGACTAGAGCCTATGGGGGAAATAGTGCCTGCAGATACAGATTGCTACCTGCAGATACAGATTGCTATCTGTGCCACATTTGTATTCTACAGAATGTAAAGTGCACAACTCTGTGCATGATTTCTCTCCTTTCCTTCATATTCTACCTGGGAATCAACCAAAAAAGCAATGCCGTGTGTGTCATCTGGCTTACTATGGGTAGCTGCTTTTAATGGGCACAGGCTGATTGCCAGTCTGTCTAAGGGTATGTTTGCCACTGTGGCCTCTCTGGTGGCTCGTGCTTTGGTTTGCCCTTCATTTCTTTCCTTATCCTTGTGTTTCTTCTGGCGTTGTGCAAAGAGGAAAGGGCAGCACAGGAGAAGGAGACACGAAGGACTTGCCTGCTCATGGGTAAACTCATTTGTGAACAGCAGCTGCAGTGCACAGGTTTCAATGCCAGAGATTTGCCTATTCACAAACAAATGTGGGGTATGGGGGGGTGCTAAATGAAAGTTGATACCTCTTTAATGATAAACTACAGATTAACCTGTGAGAAACTCAGGTGGAGCCCTAAATAGGGAAACCACTTAGGATGAGATGTAGACTTCACCCCATTTGGTACATCTCACATGCACACTCATCAGACATATCCTCTGCAACAATGCAAGCAATAGTGTTTGTGTAGTGCTTTCAGTGTCCACAGTAATCTATGCAACAACCTTTTGAGGCCGTGATCCCCATCCTTTTTGAGCCTAGGGGCACCTTTGGAATTCTGACACGGTATGGTGGACACACCTACAAAATGGCTGTTTCAGCTCACCTTCTATCCCACCATGAAGATCCCTGTGCTGTGCTGGCAGCTGCTGCCAAAGCAACATTTTAAAAAGTCTGAACAGCCAACCAAATCTCCAGTGGCCAATCAGAAGCCTTGCTGGCCAAAAGCCCCACCTGCCCCTCCTGCTTTCTAAAAGCTTTTGACAGAAGCCAGGGAAGTTGTCAACAGGTGTCATGTTGCCCGTGGGACCCCTGTGTTGGGGGACCCCTGTTTTAAGGTGTGTTCATGCTATTATCCCCATATTACAGATGAAGAACAAAAGCTGAAAGAGGGTGTCTTACTTAAGCCCTTCTAGTGAGTTTGTAGCTGAGAAGAAGCTAGAACTGTCAGTCTCCAGGATGTACATTCTAAGCCAGGAGTTTCCACCAGGTGGAACTGGCAGTAGCTCACTGGCTGCTGCAGGGTAGCTCATGCATGCGCTAGAAGACCCAGGAAAAGACCCTTGGAATTCTGGCACAAGGTGGTGGGTGCAACCACAAAACGGTTGTCACAACAGGCAGAGCCAACCACAAAACATCAGGAAGGGAGGCCATGCATAGCCCTAAGAGCAACTTTTCAACACTTTTGGCAGAATCTCTGTTTAACAAGATGCCTTTTACAATAAACATATTGTTTAAAAATATTTTCTTGCATACACACAGCCTATCTTTAATGAAGATCCCTATGCTGTGGTGGCACAGTCAAATCCCACTGCCAGTCAAGGCTTCAGTGGCCAATCAGAAGCCCTGCTGGGCAAAAGCCTCATCCGGCCCCGCCCAGTTTCTAAAAACACTTAATGGGCTCCAGGAAAGGTGTCAGCATTTTTCATGGCACCCCTTAGGGACCCCTGTTATATACCAACCAAGCTTATACTGTCTGTCTTTTATATTATACAAATTGGCTAGATTGAATGCTATTCTGTCTGGGAGCTATTGGGATGCTTAAATAAGGTGCCTTACTCTGAGCAATTGTGCCAGTGCGGTTCTGGCCAAATAAACACCCTTCAACACTGTCTATTCGACTGTGATTTGCTTAACAAGCCAAGAGATAGTTGGATAAAACCTTATATCCAGGACTGTAGGCGTGAACGGGATAATTTGAGGTTTCTTTTAGCAGCGGTGGATTTTAATATTACATTGGCAGTTGCCAAGTTCTTTTTATCAGTCGATTAAGACTAAAAAATCATTTAATTTTTATATTATACAGACACATGTATTAAATAAATTTCCTTCTTTTTTTTAGTCTTAGGGTGACACTGTTCAGGGCTGAATTGGCTGTAAGAGCAGTATCACTAAAGTATATTATATAGAATTAATTTACAACAATGTGTCTGGTATAAAAGGTGTGCATCTAAGAAACTTAAAACTAATCCCAGTATACCTGTGCATTCTTGGTATTGTGGAAAACCTTACTGAGTCATCTGGCAGAAAATAAATTATTGGCTAATTTGATACATGTGAAGCACTGTGCTAACATTCTTAATTGCCCAGCTCTTCAATGAACAAGAGTGTAAAAGACTAAGATTACATTCAGACATCACAATAAACTGGTTTATTAAATCGTGGCTTGTATAATAAACTTTTGCTGATCTATTAGATGTAAGTGATAGATCCCAGCTTATCCCAGTGTGTAAACCTTGTTTAGTCTGCTTCTTGTCTCCTGTCTTCATGCGCATGGGGGCATTTTTCTGTGTATGTGAAGAATGCCGAGGTATTTGCAGTGGCAGCAGAGAATCCACACTCGTTTTCTGCACACTTTCCTTTCCTTAGCCTCCTGCAGCTGCCATTCCCTCCCCCAACACCAGAGGGCTATCTCAGACTTTTTTGAAAATAGGCAATTGATCTAAAACTATCAGTATTCGAATATTATAATGATATTATCTGTTAGATCCTCTGAATTCCCATGGCCAAGTAGGGAATTGGAGTGGAGAGTACAGGAATAGAGCTCGGCGGCTGGTTTCCAGCTGGAGGCGAGGTCTGGGCCCACAGGTCCACTGTGCCTCAGTTGTAGAGGAGAGGGGGTTGTGCCCACCTGGGTCCTCTTTCTCCTCCTGTCAGGGTGCTCCGTGGTTGTCCCTTCTGGCCCTCTCTCTGTCCTGGCTCTGAGATAGGAGCATCCTCAACCACTTCCTCCCTGGCCTGGTAGGCCGCACAGCCTTTACACGCGCCACCCCCTATTGCTTAGGCCTCTTGGCCCTTATAGGCTTCCTCCACCTCCCACCAGCTGAAACGCTGCCCCTTCATCCCTTCCTGGCCAGTCAGCTTCCTGGTTGGGTCCCCACCCCTTGGTTGGGAGGACCCTTGTTGTGCCTTGCCTGTGCATTCCTTTTTCTGCTGGGCTGCAGAGTCATGAGTGGCACAGCTGTAACTTCCAGCCAAACTTCCACTGGCCAGCTGAGCCGTAAGAAAGGCACCAGCCTCTAGATATCATCACGCTGTGTTCCTGCCACTCTAGGATGGTCTGTTGGATCCTCTGGGGCAGCCCACTGTGGGCACCACCTTGCCACAGTAAGGGGGCATCGAATGGGACAGGGTGGGGTGCCCTGCTTGATCCTGGACTATTTATTTATTTGATTCTATTTATTTTATTGAGACTATTTATTTATTTGATTCTTTTATAGTCTGTTTTTCTCAATGAGATTCAAGGCAGATTATACAATTAAAGCAATGCAATGAGGACAATATAATACAATTAGAAAACACTGCAAATATGGGCACTATAGTACATAAACAATGCAATGAAGCCAGACTGCAAAATTAAGGACAAAAAGTATAGAATATACAATGAACAATATGATGAACTACCTAAAATTTCACAGAGTGTTACTACTGCCTATTTCCTTGTTTTGGGAATTAATCTGTTTTACACATTCTTTGGAATGATGAAAGCTAGAGTGATTGACAGGAAAAGGCTGATCCTGGCCTAATTTGTTAATCAGTGTGCTCTAGGATCATGGGACTGCTGAACAATTTCTCCATTCTACTTGATGCTGTGAGCACATTAATACTGGAATTTTGGGAGAAGCCACTTTTTAAAAACCTAAAAGAAAAATCCAAATCGCAGTTCAGAGAACAGAACTGGACAATAACGCCTACACCTCATATAACATAAAAGAGCTATGGCACCCCTTGTTATAGTGGCTCACAGGAGCCCTCTTACGTCAGGCTGGGTCCATGTATTCCAGCATCCTGTCTCCAGAAGTGGCTCGGCTGATACTTCTGGCTAGCCCATCTGTGGAGCCTTCCCTTTTTTTTGTTTCCCAGCAGCTTCCTCTGAAAATTTAATGGTCATGGTTAGAAGCTGTTGATATATCTAAGCCAATGGCCATAAGCATATCTTGAGACAATAAGGGACTGTCTTATATTGAATCAGGCCCATCTATAGATTAGTAATTGAGGGACTCCAGAAGGCAGAGAAATACTGAGGTAGAAATGTCACTGATTTCCACAGGTGTTATCTGAGATTCTTTTAAGTGAAAACACCACCTGGAGCTTTTTTTCCTCCAGCAATTGCCATTTATTACAATGACTGTGAACTGCACACCAAAATGAACACTTCTAAAAAATATCTATTACCCTTGATCTTGGCATCACAGTATTTTAAAGAGAAGTTGTAATTTTCTTGCAATAATTTTATTCTGAGTGCCCCTGACACTACTTCCTCATGTTGCAGAGATCATTTCATTATGATCTTTTTTTAATAATGGAAAGATATGGATCTTAAAGGTCACAACTGTAGGTAAAATATAGGGTAAAATATCTGAACCATACCTCTTACAGATCTCAGAGGTAAATCACATTCAGGAAGCCCAAAGGCTTGATTTAATGTGTACTTTTTATCTGTTCCTTAATGGATGAGAAAACAAGTAAAGGCAAATTTAAATGCTTGCATCTATAACCTTGTCACAGCCATCTGACTAACCATTTATCATAATTATCTTTGTTCTCAGCCAGCAGACTTCATAGGAAAGCAAGCACTGAAGCAGTTTATAGAAAAGGGGCTGCAGCGGCAGCTTGTGTATCTCACCTTGGAAACAGATAACGTTGATCCAGAAGGGAATGAAAGTGTCTGGTATAATAAGAAGGCAAGTAGCTGTAGATTGTGTTTCAACTGAGCCTGGAGCAGATTGTGTTTCATATGCATACATATATGTAAAATCATCAAGGACAGTTCAACCAAGTAGAGGTGTTTCCCCCCCAAAAAAATAGCATCATAAATGCCAAGGGTGTGTTTGTACTAGCATTATTTCTCCCAGTTTGCTGCTAGCATTTGTTCTCCAAGGGACCATACATATCCTAGGGCAAGGTGCTGTTTGCATACAATTCCTGGTTTCTTTGTGCAAGTGGTACATGCACAGTTTTTGCCATGTTATCTCTTGGTCAATGTCCTGATCTCTCACAATCAGATCATCTTAGTTATTGTGGAATGGTATAGCCCAAATCTTGTCAAATCTCAGAAGCTAAGCAGGGTCAGTATTTGGATGGAAGATCACCAAGGAAGATTTTGCAGAGGGAGGCATTGGCAAAACACCTCTACTTAACTTCTTGCCTTAAAAACCCTATGAGGTCACCATAAGTCAGCTGTGACTTGAAGGCACTTTATACAACACACAATTCGGGAGGGGCAAATTCATTGCAAATGAAGACCTGCAAATATTATTTATGCAAGTACATGCTGTTATCTGAACGAAGAAATAAGAGTTCAGGTGGGAAGATAACCTGAAATGTTAATTATATAGGATGGCAATGTACGTGTCTTACTACACACATTACCTCATTCAAATGAAGCAAATTATGTGGGGGAAGAGAAGGCAGGAAAGGATGCTGAACCCTCCCTTCGACTGCCAGTTTTGCTTACAACTCCCCTTTGTCAAGAACTGGAAGGCAGCAGTTTGGCAGAACTTCTAGGCAACCTGCCACAGGTCAGACTGAGGATCTTGCTCAGAATCAACAATGATATAGGACCAGACCTTATTGGACCAACAAGCCATCTAGTTTGTCTGGGTTGAAAAATGCAGTATAACCTCTCTATATCAGGAGGGAATACAGTGCAGATCAGCGAAGGCTGTGCCAGCGCTTCCTTCTGCCCGCATGCTGCCCAACAGTGCATGGAAAAAGAAACATGGGTCTTACCTGTTGCCTTCTGCAGTTCAAAACTACAAGTGCCTTACATCTCCCTCAGCCACCCTTCTTCTGTAAGCCTCACCTGGAGAAACTGGCTGTGAGCAAACATTAATCAAGGGAGAGGTTCATGACACCTATACAGACCCTCCTACCCACTATATTGGTGTAGTGGTTAAGTATACGGACTCTAATCTGGGAGAACCGGGTTTGATTCCCCACTCCTCCACTTGCACCTGGCTGGATGGCCTTGGGCAAGCCGTAGCTCTGATAAGGAGCTGTTCTTGAAAAAGAGCAGTTTCTGTCAAGAGCTCTCTGAGCCCCGCCTACCTCACAGGGTGTCTGTTGTGGGGAGGGGAAGGGAAAGGAGTTTGTAAGCCGCTCTGAGACACCTTTGGGTAGTGAAGGGTGGGGTATAAATCCAATCTCTTCTTCTTCTTCTTCTTTCAGTCGCAACCGCCTTATTTATACAAATGTGATTTGACATGTACCATAAAACACAGTCTGTGCTACTGTCACATTAGTTAGCCCCTAAGATTCCCAAATCCCAGAGAAAAATAGAGATTATGTGGAAAATTTCTTACACTACTGGGACTCTTTTTACAACTATATACCCTTTTTGTATAACTGAAAACTATTTGTGAAGTATCAAAAGGAATAGTAAGTTCTTAGGGGGATATAATATCATTCCTTTGGGGGGGGTGTTGATGATTTAATGGCCATTTGGAGGAGGTTAGCATAAAGCAGTGATGCTGCATAGGTCCAAAGAATAGGCAACACAGGTAATATTACTTTCCCTGGATCCAAATTAGTCGAATAATAATAAATATTCAGCAATAAGTATTGTAGTTGCTGTTCTGTGCTTCCTAGAAAGCTTTTTCTGATTGGATAAAAAGATCAAATATAAGATCAATTGTGTTATGTACAATCATATATTTGACATTATAATGCATGTTTAATAACCCAAGCTGCATCAGTTATAGTGGGCTTTCATGCATGGTAAGATTTGTTATTTGGGTAATTTTTCAGGTTATTGGCAATACTACATCTGGAAGTTACAGCTACAGTATTCATCAGAGTCTGGCTTTTGCATATGTCCCCATGGAACTCAGCAGAGTTGGACAGAAACTAGAAGTTGAACTACTTGGAAAAAATTACCCCGCCATTGTGGTGCAAGAACCACTGGTGATGACAGAACCAACAAGAGCTCGTCTTCAGAAGAAGGGCGGGAGTGCAAAAGGCTAAACAAGGCAGACATGTCATTCTTCAGTAGGGTGTATATGATTTACCTATAAAATACGGTATCATTCACAGTTGTTTCCTGTACGGAGGTATGTGTCCCACTTTTCATCCACAAAGAGGATTCTGGTCAGTAAATTTACTGAGCACAAAGGAGGAAAGAGAGATATACTTTTGATAAGTTTCTCATGAAGAAAGATTTCAGGTTCAGGATATTTACTTCTAATCACCTTATCTTAACTGTTCTCACTGAACAGGAGTCAGTGCTTTAAATATTTGATAAACTGAACTAACTATTCATAAGAACATAAGTAGAGCCCTGCTGGATCAGACCAGTGAGGGTCCATCTAGTCCAGCATTCTGTCTCACACTGTGGTCAACAAGTTCCTCTGGAGGTCCAACAACTGAGCATAGCTCTTCCCCTGATGTTGCCTCCTGATGCTGGTATTTAGAGGTTGACTGTCTCTGAACATGAAGGTTCCCTTTAGTCACTATGACTAGTAACCACTGATGGACTTATCCCCCATGAATCTGTCTAATGCCTTTTAAAGCTATCTGTTCCTGTTGTCATCACTACATCATCCGGCAGTAAATTCTTCTAATTTTTTTCCATATGAACAAAGCCCAGGAATAGGTGAGGAATGTTTAGAGACTTGTGCTTCAATCTTCAGTGGCCTCTCCAACAAAGCTGATTAACAGCTAGTATAAACTAACAGACTTTATCTCTCTTCGGTGCTTTGTGCACAAATAAGCTTGGCAATGTGAAATTTGTACTGAAGAGGAAAACTGTTTTCACCAGGCAAGAGTAATAGCTGCCATAGTCTACTGTAGTTTAAGCCACTGCTTGTGCTGTGTACCCCTTACTGAACAAAATGGATTCATAGTAATGTATCTGGAGGCAAATGATGTAAAGGTTGCCACAGAATAATGAAAATCCACCTGCTACTCAGCTGTTGCTCTGACACCAGCTGCTATTTCAAGGCACTCAGCTCTTTACTGAAGATAGGCACAAACCAGGAAAATGGAGGCTCGTCCCAGTTTGTGGTTCATGGGGTCACACGAACCTTCATGAACCCCCATTTAATGAACTGGTTCATTTTGTGAGTTTCGTGATACCATGGGGGGGGGGTCTTCCTCCTTTCTGCTGGGGTTGGTTCCCTGAGGCCAGCAGAATGGAATGGGGGGCAAGATCTTCCTTCCTGGGAGATCTTCCCTCCCTCGTTTCTGCAGGGGGCAGCTCTCCAAGGCCAGCAGAATGGAAGGGGGGGAGATCTTGCAAAAGCCATTTAAAGGGAATGCTTAGAAGTGGTGGGAACAAAAGGGATCACTGAAATGGTTTGCATCTTGCTCCCTCTTCCCCCCCCCCCACTTCCCACCACAAACTTCCGAAAACTACGTGGAGGGTCATGGATAGGGATGGACATGAACCTCAGTTCGTGAACCACAAACTGGCTGTGTTCATCATGAAATTAGGTTCGTGATGAGGTTCATGGCCATCCCTACTCTTTACCACAAAACAACCATTACAAATGGCTTTGTATATAAATCAAGAATATCATTTTGCTCCTTAGACCTTAATGGAATTAGATGTTATTGCATATTTCCTTATGTAGGGCTGAAGATCTTTACTGAAGAACTGATCTGGGATACGGAGGATTAATTAGTTTACACATAAATATATGTAGTGACTTTTGAATACTTTGAGTCCAGTGGCACCTTTAAGACCAACAAGGTATATAATGGATGGAAGTTACTAGTCCATACATATAGGTAAAGGGTGAGCAGTAAATTAGCATACAACATAATGAAGATGTTTAACAGTTTCAAGGTCTTAAAGGACTCTGGCCTTAACCTTTGTTCTGCAGAGTCTTCCTCGTCAGTCTCCCATCCAAGTACCAACCCGGCTTATCTTCCAAGATCGGGCTGTACCATGTTGCTTTCCCTCCCTGTATGTAGTTTTAATAATCAACAGACAGATTAGATGAAAGTATGGGGTGACACTGGGTAGTATGCTCCCTTTTCCCCTCATATGCCAAAAGTGAACTGGTTCCATACTAGCAAACTGTGATTTGTCCTTGACCTGCAATCCCAGATTGCAACCCAGGTTCAAAACCAGGTTTGCATCAATATTTCCAGCATATTTAAAAAAAATATTTCCAGCATAAGCACAACCCACAGTTTTTTAGTTTGTGTATGATGGAATAATAGGATTGCTGAAAACCAGGGAGTGATTAATTAGCTTGCAGTATGCAATAGAAGGAAGGAACAGTCCTTTCTGGCTGAATTGCCTGGTCCCATTATATCTGTATTCAGTATTCAGTAGTCCCAGTATTCAGTAGTCACTTCAGTATTCAGTAGTCACTTCAGGACTTTTCCAGTGTTTTTTTAAAATAACTGTTTTTATTGTTAGTACAAAACTCATTGCCATGATTTTGAAAGGGTTATGGTTAAGGCTTGCATGGTATGCTTTTTTAAAAAGTAGAAGGTCCCAGGTTCAATTCCTGACATACCTAGTTAAAGGATTTTAGATGCTAACCGTTGGGAAAGAAAACTGTTTCTTCTTGAGACTTTGATGAGCCACTGCCAGGCAGAGCAGTCAAAGAGCTCAGTATGTTTAGCTTGGAGAGGAAATGACTGATAGGTGATATGATAACCGTCTTCAAGTACTTGAAGGGCTGTCATAGAGATGGTGCGGAGTTGTTTTCTGTTGCTCCAGAAGGTCAAACCAGAACCAATGGGATGAAATTAAATCAAAAGAGTTTTTGGCTAAACATTAGGAGGACAGTTAAAGCAGTTCCTCAGTGGAACAGACTTCCTCAAGAGGTGGTGGGCTCTTCTTCATTGGAGGTTTTTAAGCAGAGGTTAGATCGCCATCTGACAGCAATGCTGATTCTGTGAACTTAGGAGACCATGAGACGGAGGGCAGGAGGGTTGCATCAGTGTTTAGTTGTCATGGCCCTTTCTTACATGCCCAAGGAAATGCTGATCACCATTTTGGGGTCAGTAAGCAATTTTCTCCAGGCCAGTTTGTCCAGAGATCCTGGAGGTTTTTTGTTTTGGGGTTTTTTGCCATCTTCTGGGCATGGAGCAGGGGACACTGGGGGTGTGGGGGGAGGTAGTTGTGAATCTCCTGCATTGCACAGGGAGTTGGACTAGATGACCCTGATGGTCCTTTATGTTTCTATACTGACACAGATAAATCTGACACAGTATAAGGCAGTAAATATCCATCCCCACAGAATGCATACATAGGGAAAGCCTTGATGTATAGGGAATACCATTGTTCGCAGCTTTTTAAAAAGAGCAGAAGATGCATGCTTAGAGGAGGAGGAAGATGCAAACTACAAAAAACTAAAAGAAAAAAGACTTACAAAATACTGGTACTATATTGCTGGAGGAGGTAGCCTTGCTGGTTTTATTGTATAAAGGGCCACATTAGTATCCTTTTGTTTGAGTTGTATGTACATCAATGGAGTGCACAGTTTCAAAAGGATTTTTTAAAAGTACTGTAATATACCTTTTAAAAGTTCAGTAACTGGCATCACTAGTGATGTTGCAATAGGAAACTGTCACATTTCTAGAACTATGTTGCAATGGATGCAGTGCTCAAAGTAATTGATATGCTTGTTGGAAGTTCTTCTCCCCCCTCCCCCGCAACATAATGAAGGCTTGAATGCTAGGGAAACATGATACCCATTCAGTGGAAACATGCCTTCCACAATATGTGAATAATAACTTCCCATTTATTGTGTTATACATTGTTCATCTGGAAAGTTCCTTGTATTACTAAAGTTCAGTATATTGTTTAATCAAAACATTTTAATTCTCTGGTGTAAAACTATATGCAGCTTTTGAGATGTGTTAAAATGTAATTCATTGTAATATGTGAAGTGCTTGGAGTAAGAGCAGGGATATTAAAGGATACAAACAACGTAATTTAAGAGGTAGTCGTGTTGGTTTGCAGTAAAACAGCTAGGTATGAGCCCAGTAGTACCTTGGAGGCCAAAAAGATTTTTGGGGTTTAAGCTTTCAAGAGTCTGTATTCCCTTTGTCAGATACCAGTCAGAATGGAGATCTGAGTCCTTATATGCCAGTCAGAAGATGGGAGGGGTGTTGCAAAGGAGGAACTCAGGATGCAGAAGTACAATGCACATTGTAATCAGCTTGATTAGAACAGGTGAAATGCTTAGGGGCAGAAAATTTGGTCCTATGAATCCTATGTATCTTTTCAGCCCTGGTGGGGTCCATCGTTCTGACCTTGTGAATGGACTCAAGTTCAGCAATCTCCCATTGTAATCTCCCTTTGAAGCGTCTCTCTTTGAAGACTTCCACTCTTAGGTCAGCAATGGAATGACCTGGAAGATTAAATGTTCTCCCACTGGTTTTTGAGTGTTACAGGTTTTTTTATGTCAGATCAGATCAACAAAGCCAAAATGATACCGAGGGATAACCTGCTACAAGATAGGTCCAAATGAAGCAACAACAGAACACTGCTGGTGGTCACATACAGATCTCAGCTCAAACTGGTTCAACAGATCATTAACAGCCTACAACCTGTGCTGATCAATGATGATCCTCTCTCACAGGCATTGAGGCATTTTCTTGCCTACAGACAGCCCCCGAACCTTAAACAACTTCACACTCACAACAACGCACTTCCTAACATGGACACAGATTCTAGAACTAGGGCCTGCAACAAACCAATATGCCAACTTTGTCCCCGTATTCACTCTGATAACACAGTCACCGGAACTAACAGCACCAGCCATACCATCTCAGGTTCGTTCACTTTTTCATCTTCCAACATTATATATATCATCAAATGTCAGCAGTGCCCTTCCACTCTCTACATTGAACAGTCAGTCCCTATGCAAAAGAATGAAAGGACATAAATCTGACATATAAAGCTACAACACTGGAAGGATTTAAACACCTTTCTTCCAGCACCCTGGTGACAAGCCAACACCACTGCCCCTTGCCATGTCTCCTGTTGATAGACCAGAGATCTGATTACTGATCACTCTCACCTCTTCTCATGCCAGGTGCATCAATAATACTTTGCCATGCAATACTAGATAGACTAGTGCTATAGTTCAATTAAAAACCTTTAAATCTGCCTAACTATTTAGTCTGGACTTGTAATTATTCATCCACTCAAGATGTAGCCAAGAGTTTGAACAATTTTATTGTCAATCCTTTGCAGATCAATATTTTTCTCTGTTTTTCAGATATGCAAAGGATTTCCAGTAACATCATCAGAGCTCTTGGATGAAACTTGAATGAATGAACTAGTTTATGTTTATGACTAGTCCCCTTCTCTTGCTGTCTTCTGTCAGTGGGTGAAGACTCTTTGTTTCATCTACCATTCCCTCAATAATCCCTCCTGCCTTACGTTTTAATTTCTGTCTCTGCAACTTAGATTTTGTTTTAATTCATTTTATGATGTGTTTTTTTTATATAATGATTTGTTTTGTTAGCTGTCTGAGTGGCCCTAACTGGGCAGAAAGGCTGGATATAAATTTTGTAAATGAATACACCATTTTGTAAATGAATACACCATTTCTCCATTTCTTACTTCCCACATAGTGGGCTAGCTTTCTTTCCACCAATATTATTGCTTCTGACATTTCTAGCTGGATTGTCATTGCTGTAGAAGCCATCAAATTAATAAAATATTGATCAAAGCCATAATGTTTCCTTTCCAGGATACCTATGAACCTTAAAACTAACTTTGAAAATGATGCAGCGCTCTTGTGCTCATTCCACTCAATACTCCATGTTCGTTGTCCTTTACAAAGGTCATTTAACCAAAAACTGCTCAAAAGTCCCAACTCTTGCAAAGGAATCAATACTTCTAGACCTTCAGTAAAGGAGCAGAAGCATAAATAAGACATGCCAGTAGAAACACGGTTTGAATAATGAGCACCTATCATTGCCAGGGATTTAATGCAAGTTGACATTACATAGTACCGATCTGAATATCCGTTTACAAAGCAGGTCACAGTAAAATATAGAAGCTGACAGCATTGCCCATGGTGCTAGCTGGAGTGAAAAAAAAATCCATTTGGAAATTATTCTTATATACTTTCAGTGATTTGGACCTATTTTGTTCAGCCATTCAGGGATTTGATTTTCTTAAAGGTGACATTGGGTTGAATCCAGATTAAATTGGCATTTTCCTGTTTTAGAGCCCTCCCCCCCATGTCATTTCTCAGGGTCCCCTATCTCCTAGGAGCACCACTGTGGAGATCAGTGGGCATTGCTCAGAAATATGTATTTACAAGCAGGGACCCATGAGAAACAGGCCAATTTCTTCACTGGTACTTGCTTCCTACTTTGGTTTCTGATACCTCCCCAGCCACCTTTCTCTACCCTTTCTTTCCACAGCCACCTGCTTCTCCTGCTTCATCATTCCACTGCCACCTGCTCTTTTTCTTCCACACTCAGCAACTTCTCATTCTTATTATTGAAAACATTTATATCCCTCCTTTCCTCATGGTTCAAGGCAGCTGACCCACGACAGCTGGTGGCCACTTCCCTACCCACTGCCCCTTTTCTTCTGATCTCCCTACCACCCCCTCCTCACCACTCTGCCAGCCAACCCCCCTCACTGTTCTGCCCACCCCCCACCTTCCTTGCTGCTCTGCCCGCCCACCCAACCCCTCTCCTTCCTGCTCTGCCCAACCACCACTTCTCACCATTCTGCCAACCCCCTTCTTGCCATTCTGCCTGCAGTCCTCTGTGGAAGGTCAGTAGTTCAGCAGTTCAAGACCCGGGTGCCGCAAGACGGAGTGAGCTCCCGTCTCTAGTTCCAGCTCCTGCCAACCTAGCAGTTCGAAAGCAAGAAATTGCAAGTAGATAAACAGGTACCACTTTGGTGGGAAGGTAACAGCGTTCCGTGCGCCTAGGTGTTTAGTCATGCCGGCCACATGACCACGGAAACGTCTTCGGACAGCGCTGGCTCTTCGGCTTGGAAACGGAGATGAGCACCGCAACCCTAGAGTCGGATTCGACTGGCTTTCGAGCAAGGGAACCTTTACCTTTACCTTACATTGTGTGCACATGTGCAAATGCTCCTGTTTTGGGTGGTCTCACCACCACCCATCTTATTTTTCATGGTTTCTGAAATGTCCAATCTGTTTGTGACCCCAGTTTTTGGATTAAAGTAGCCACAGATCTGGCCTTGTTGACTGTTAAGATATATTGATGATGGGCGAGATTTCAGTAGCACTTAACAGAGCCTTTAAGTCCCTCCTTTTAGTAGGCAAGTGTACACTGCAGTACACCAACCACTATATCAAAAGGAAGGCTGTGGTGAAATGCCTTACACCCCAGAATTTATATAAAGGTCTATTGGGTTTTCACTCTGTACAGGCTCAGAGTTCATAGGGTACCATTTGCTGGTTGGTAGGTGGAAAAGGGAAACAGGACTTTCTATCTCTGGGCATAAGGAAAGTCTTTTAAGTCTCTTAAGCCCCCATTTTACTTAGGGTTGCCAGCTCCGAGTTGGGAAATACCTGGAGATTTTGGGGATGGAGCCTGGGGAGGGGACAGACCTTAGCAGGTTATAATGCCATAGTCTCCACCTTCCAAATCAGCCATTTTCTCCATGGAACTGATCTTGGTTATCTGGAGATCAATTGTAATAGCAGGAGATCTCCAGGTGCCACCTGGAGGTTGGCAAACAATTTACTGCAAATCATTCTGTCTCCATGCTACCCCAGGTTCTATCTTGAGCCCATGTTGCTGGGATCACTTGGTGAGAACTCCAACCACTGATGATTTTTAAATGCTCACGACTCCCAAGAATTAACTGCCTCTCTAAATCTTCATCTTGTTTGAGTAAGACCACCTATTTGTCACAGAACTACAGAGCCATTACCAGATGCTTGACTGGAGGAGTGACTATATTTTATAACACCCTACTTGGCCCCCTACTCCTTATAGAGCTTACTCCCCCCCCCTGAACATGTGAAGCACCCACAGACTAGACTGGAGGGAGGTACAAATTTTCTGCCTCCTGTTTTAATTATTGTATGTTTGTTGGGCTTGGTTTTGTCCTATGTTTTTATTCTTTTAGAACTCTACACATTGCCTAGAGCCCCACAACTGTGGGGATAGGTGAATAAATGGAATTAAATAAATAAATAGACTCTGATGGGTAACAGTAGCCTCTGACATCAGAGATGAGGCTTTGTGTGGCATTTGTTACATCAGCCTGTCACTCTTAGAAAAGAGGCTGGCTTACGTCCAATTCCATTGACAATAAATATGTGGAGATTTTCCCTTGTCTTCAGCTTTCAGTGGAAACTGGGTCTTCAGGAAGACTTAGGGTTGCCAGCAGTGTTCCCTCTAAGCTGAGTTAGTGTGAGCTAGCTCACCGTTTTTTAGCCTCCAGCTCACATATTTTTGTCTTAGCTCAGAAAGGACGGCTCCAGGGCAAACTAATCTATGCAGTAGCCAAAATGCTCGCTCACAACTTTAATGCCAGTAGCTCACAAAGTAGAACTTTTGCTCACAAGACTCCACAGCTTAGAGGGAGCATTGGTTGCCAGACCTCCAGTGGAGGCGGGGGTTCCCGCTGCCAATCAGTTGACTGGTGTGGGGGGAAAACGTACCCTGAAAAAGAGGGAAAATCCTCCCACATGCAGTGATGTATCTATGTAACTGCCCATGTGACCTGGAAGTGACGCTTTAATGTCAAGGGCGATGCTCTGGTATTTGGGGAAAAATTCTATGGTAGAAGCCAAATTTACCATAGAGGTTTTGCCCAAATACCAGAGCATCACCCTGGCATCCTGGAAGTCGTAGCGTCACTTCCAGGTCATGTGGGCAGTAACATAGACACATCACTGTAGTTGGATGGGCCTCCCTTCTGCTCCCAGTAAATTCCCTCCCCACCCCCCACCAGTTGCCAGGAGGGACCTGGCAACCCTATAGGAGGTTGTATAGCAGTTATGAGGAGCTGTGGTGGCTCAAGTGGTTAAGACGCTGAACTGCAGGCTGTGGAAGGTCAGTAATTCAGCAGTTCAAGACCCGGGTGCCGCAAGATGGAGTGAGCTCCCGTCTCTAGTTCCAGCTCTTGCCAACCTAGCAGTTCGAAAGCAAGAAATTGCAAGTAGATAAATAGGTACCACTTTGGTGGGAAGGTAACAGCCTCGGTGTTTAGTCATGCCAGCCACATGACCACGGAAATGTCTTCGGACAGCGCTGGCTCTTCGGCTTTGAAATGGAGATGAGCACCGCAACCCTAGAGTCGGATTCGACTGGCTTTCGAGCAAGGGAACCTTTACTATAGCAGTTAAGGATTCCACCAACATCTCGTTACTGCAAGAAACCCTGCATGTGCCCTGAGGAACCTGCTGCAGTCTAGGTTAGCTTAATTCAGATGCATTGCTTTTTTATTTGAACATCTCTATGCTGTGTGCCTTTCCCTGTATTTTATTTTTGCCCTTTCCCCACCACTTCCCCCCCCCCTTTCCAACCACCCTTTTCTCTTTTTTGTTGTCTCTTTTAAAATAAAACTTTTTATAAAGACTTTTTTTGGTTAACACAACTTTTTGCTTAGTACGATCTACTTCTCTGGGATATTTCTCTCAATCTCTTCCCCATATGCTAGATCGCATGGGCACTACATGGTTATAAGGTATTTTCCAGGGTTTGTACCCTGTTGCTTTGTTATTGTTCTACTACTGTGCTAGAAGGATACCTTCTCAGTGGGTCGGTCTATATGTTCTCAGGACATCCTGAGTGGTGGCAGCCTACCAGGTTGTTTTCCAGAAAATCCTTACTCTTCCCAGCAAGGAAAGGCACCATTCTCCCCTCTTCTCACCATAACAACAGTGATATCCAGAGAGAGCAAATTCAGGAGTACAGAGACAGAAGTTACCCTCGCTGAACTTGAGACTTGGGACAACAGCATAGCGCTCTGTCTCTCTCTCCCTCTCTCCATGTGAGCAAAAATGACTGCTTGCAAGGCTGTTTTCCCACAGAGGCCCATGTACATACCCCCTAGTGACATTCAGTTGTATTGCTGCACATTGGCAGATCACTTATTCAAAGGACATTTTGTCTCCCTCTATGGCCCTGTGCTCCAGTTGTGTTCTTCAGCTTGCCGCCTTCTGGTTGATCCCTCATTAATAGGGACGCCAGCCTCCGGGTGAGACCTGGGGATCCCCCGAATTGCAGCTAGTCTCCAGACTACAGAGATCAGTTCCATTGGAGATAATGGATGTTTAGGAGGGTGGATCCTATTTCATTGTACCCCATTGAAGTCTCTGTCCTCCCCAAGCGCCATCCCTAAATCTCCAGGAGCTTCCCAACGTGGACCTGGCAACCCTACCAAACCCCCACCCCACCCTTGCTGGTGGCCAAGGGGGACCTGGCAACTCTACTCATTAAAGGTGGCCCTCATGGTATCAACAGGGCCCATGCCTACAACAGGGCCCATGCCTGAGGAAGTAAGGGGAGCTCCATCCTTGGAAATTTTAGGGGGCTCTACGAGGCTACTCTATTCACCAGACCTTCTAAGAGAATGCAAGTTGCAGGCATTCTGTTATGTTTTATTAGGCTGTATTTATTGGGTCAGGAAGGACCTTGGGGATTTATCGTTATTTGATGTCTTTATTTATAATAAGCCACCTTGAACCATAGAGAAAGGCTGGGTGAAAATGGTCTCATTAAAAAATTGTGCTCAGAGTGTGTAATGTATTCAGCCTGACATGCCCGGACTTGCCGGGCTGGCCCGGCACAATTCATCTGTAGCTTCAGT